TCATGAATTTGCCAACCTAAACAGCAGTAATTGCTTACTTTAGGTGTCACTAAAAATTAAGATTTCTAAGGATTAAGAAATCTAATTAAGTTCAAAAGAAACTCTATGTTTTTGGTTATAGAAGGTATAAGGTATAGAGATATTTACATTGTAAAGAAATTAGAGTAATTTTGTCTTAAGTTGGTTATTTCTGAGTAAGAAGAGATAAACTAAACTCAAAGGGACCAGAAAAGCTGTAAAATGCTTGTGAAGAGAAATCTTAAGAAAAGCTTATATGGTTAAGCTGGATAATATTGGAGTAAATTTAATTAAGTATATAAATTTAAATATCAAAAGTAAGCTAATGCAGATTTAAAGTGTGGTTCTTTTTCACTTGTTAAAATGAAAAGTATTTCTTGTATTTATTGTTCTTATTATTCTATTTGAGATATGAGGAAAAATTCACTACCTAGGAAGCAAAGATTCTATGTTTTATTAAAATAGTTACAATGTGTTAGGTACTTGATTACTTAAGAAAATCATCTTCTTGCCCCGTCCAGTGAGTCTCAGTTGGTTGGGCATCCGTCCACAAAGAAAAAAACTGCTGGTTTGACTTCTGGTCAGGCACAGGCCTGGGCTGAGGGTTTGGTTCCTAGTGGAGGCGCATGTGAGAAGCAACTGATCAATGTGTCTCTCTAACAACATTGTTTGTTTCTCTCCTTCTCTTTCTTACTCTTTCCCCTCTCTCAAAAAATAAATAAATAACATATTTTTAAAAAATAAAGAAAACTATCTTTTCAATCCTAAGAACTAAAGTTTTGCTAGCCTATATTTATGTTTGCTACCTTTTTTTTTGTCACTTTGGGTAAATGTATAATTTAATATTGTTTCATAATGATATATGATCTTTTGGTCAAGAATGTTTGATAACCTTCCTAGGATTTAAATTTTTAAAAAGACTTTTTCTTAACTTAAAAATGGCTTTGGGTTATTCCAACAGATCCCCAAAATACCTCAATTTTTCCTTCTCTACTTATAAAAGAGAAATTTAAAACTAATTAGGCCTATTTGATATCATTAAATTACATGTGAAGGTTTGTAAAAAAAACCCACCAGTTTTATTTGTATATGTATATTTTTATTATTAAAGTGGATATTCTAGAGATCATATAAAAATATCCAAGAGTCTACAAAGTTCTAATATGATTTCACTTTTAATATAATTATATTAAAATGTTGATACAGAAAAGCAAATTTCTTTGTCAATTGCATTGTAATCAGATCTACAACCATGTCATTAGAAGTTTTGTCACTTATGGATAGTCACTGTTTTACTCTGGTGCTTTTGCAAATATGTTTATCATAAAGATCCATGAAAAGGACTCTGAGTTATTCTAAATTACAGATTTCTGAGAATAAATTTATAGATCATATTTTTGAAAACTTATAGAGCCCAAGAAATAACTGTATTCATGGAAATCTTGGCACATAATCAGGATAAACAAGTACTTATTGACTAAATAAATTAAGGATAATAATAATAATTATTATTATAATATATTACATATATTGTATATAATAATAATTATTATTAAGACTTTGTTCAAAATATTGCTGATTCTTAAAACTTTTGCTTTCTAGGTATAAGAAAACTTGAATGTTTTTAAAGCAGTTTGGTAAATTATACCTTTATAAAGCAATATTGAAACATTTCTATTTTTCTCTGTACTTCTGTACTTGATCCCTCTAGAATTTGAAAACTCATGAGTATGGCACTATATTTGTTTACATAAGTTCAATAAAAATATGTTCTTCTTATAACTGGGCATGATTGGAAACTGGTTTTATTACCCAAGAACTTTACTGAAATGTCGTATTTGAAAGAGACATGCGAAGACATAGGTGACACCAGAAAGCTTTAAGGAATTATGATTGACGTTAGAGGCTGATAAAAAGCCCCTTGGAAAAACCACCTGGCACCTCTGAGGCAGGAAAGTTGGAACAGGGAACAAGGGCCTCAAGCTCCACTCCTCCCCTTTTCTGTCATGATGGGAACATTGTGGAAGCAACTTTTGTTGACACCTGTTCTCACACTTTCCCTCCCAATTTCCTGTAGCTAAGGCAAACAACAATAGGTCTCAACCAAATTTGGCAGTCACATAGACCTACAAGTGACCAACAGGGCCATTATAATATCATTATAATAAATTTACATTGCAATTTTGGAACCACTCCACCCCCAAAATCGCCATGAAAGTTCCAGGAGGACCAAAAAAAATCACCATATATATAGGAGGGAAGAGGGTGACCTACATCAGCAGTCGCCCCATCAACATCAGAAGCCAAGGACCACCCTACTCAGTCCTTGCCTACATTTAATAAAAGCGTTCTGCCCAGGCCCCATCGGGGGTGTTCTCAAAGTTTCCCACACTCCCTTCTTGTGTGCACTTTTGCTTAATAAATTCACTGTGTTTCACTGAATCTATCTGTCTCCACCTTGAATTCTTTCTCGTGCAGTGGCAAGAATCTGGACTCCACTATTAAGTAGAGGCCTCCCTTGGCCTCCTTGAGTGCCTTGGCATCATCTTACTTACATAATTCACAGTAGTCTTTCCAGGTAAGACACAAAGTTTGCTTTCCTGGGAGATGGCAAAGAAACAACCTCAACATATTTTAAGGGAACTCAAACCTGAGGAGTTCATCCAAATCTATGGGTATTGCAGGCAAAGTCTTATGGCTTCTTAGCCTTGAGAGCCTAATTAAAGTTCAGTCTGGGGATCCTTATGAAATTCCAGCAAAGCAGATTTAAAAGAGCCTATATGATTAATTACAATTCTTCTTGTAGTTATGCAAATAATTTAGCTAAATTTATTAAAACTAGACTTACACAGTAAATAGTCTTAATTTGGTTATTTTTGAAAAAAACGGAGGTGATTACAGGGATAGAAACTGGGTTTTCATAGAATGTATGATACACAGTTGTGGATATTAGATTCTTACTCAGTTAACTGCCTTTAAAGTTATTTTTCATCTGTAAACTGGACTGGATCTTGAAGTTTTCTAGTTTGGCTAAATATTTGGCTATAAACCTTCAAACTAATGTTTCATTTTTCTCCCATCCTTTGACTTGGAATTATTGAAATTATTGAGAACAAAAACTTATTTTTCTGAGCCTTACAATTGCAAATTGAGGCTACAGGATGTAACATAAACTTGAGAAATTGCTACAATAGCTTAAACAATTTCAGTGACTGAAGTTTTGTAAACCATGAAGAATTTAACCTGAGAACCTGATGACAACACCAGAGACATTCAAACTGCAGACCAGGAGAATCTATCAGATGGTCACTACCTGCCTTCATTCCAGCAAAATAACTTTGAGCCTTATATCTGACTGACCGCCTTAAAGACTCAGAAACTGGTTTCTAATATGCTCTCATCATTAACCATTTTTTTCTTCTGTTTTCATAAACATATGTCGTATTAAATGCCTGATTGCTTACTTACATAATACAGGCCTCACTTTGGGAGCCCATCAACATCGCTGCCTCCTGAAATAAAACTCAAACAATTTAACTGAACTGATTTATTCTCAAGACTGAATGACTGAATCAATGAAACATGAAGCAATCTACCAACTTAGCTTCAAAGCGTGACTGAACAGATCAAAATTCTGCCACCCTAAAGCTGCTTTTTGGGATACTAATTTTAAGCTATTTATTAAGAAACAAAAGACTCTGAAAGAACCTTTGATCCTACTCCCATTCCTCCTTAAGAGATTCAGATAGAGAAACCCACTTCAGGAAGATCTTAGGATAGTGTCCTGGCCTAATTTGAATTAAGCGTGGTAAATATGAGGGCTTCAGGCAGAGGCCGGTTAGATACCCTCTGTGTCTCATTGTTTCTGAGGTGTTTAGCCAGTATGTGCCTGCCCTGTGTGTTCTGCTCTGCCTCAACTACCTGTAAATTGCCCACTCTCACTTCTGAAATCCAATACCATATCCCCACCCTTCTTTGCTAAAAATGTCTTGTATACCCAATGTTACTTCACTGTGTTTGGAATTTTCATGGAGTAATTATGCCTGTATGAATTCCCCAAGTTTATGTATTAAGATTTGATATTCTTCTGTTACTCTGCCTCTGCAAATCTGGTTATTAGCCAAGCCAGAACAAGTTGGAAAGTGAGAGAAAAAGTCTTAATACTTTTTTAGGCCCCACACCAGGTTCTGGGGCACAAAGTCTAAACGACCAGCTGCCAGTGCCAGGTGGAAAAGGCAACACATGCCCTGTCCTGGCATTAGCAACTGTATTTAAAGGTTTTTTGTTTATTTATTTTTAGAGAGGTGGAAGGGAGGAAAAAAGAGAGGAAGAGAAACATTGATCAGCTGACTCTCATACACCCTCGGACCAGGGACCGAACCTGCAACCAGGTATGTGCCCTGACTGAGAATTGAATGGGTGATATTTTGCTTTGCAGTAGGATGCCCAACCAACCGAGTCACACTGGTTTGGGTTAACAGCTGTTATTTATAAATCAAGCAGGGGGGCAGAAAGATGTGAGTTGTTCCGAAAGAATTTATGTTGTCTATAGTAGATAAAGAAGACAGGAGAAGGTAAAGTCTACACCAGCTCTGGGGTAGGCGCTGAGTCTTTGGGCAGCATAAGGGACACAAATACCCAGCAACTCGGAAGCCATGTTAAGACCACGTGGTCAGTAGGAATGCCAGGTAGGCTGACCTCAAGTATATCACCACCCCTCCCCTCTATATTTGAAAATGCAGAGATAGCTGATTTTCTCTTCCCCCTAACTAATCATATTGAAACTACTGACAGGCATGCACAGTTGATCAAGATCTGACCTCTGTGGGGTGGTGGCGATAAGCAGTCTGCCATCTTGTTCCCATAGAACTGGCACAAGATAGCTGCCTAGTCACTTAGTAGAGGGAGGAAGTAATTTCACCCTAACATGAAAAATTCCACTTCTGGAACATATCATAAGCACGCCATTTCAAAAAGCTTACCTTTGGCACTGGTCTGGTGAGGTGAGTTGATTAGAGCATCCTCCCCATGCACCAACATTGCAGGTTCATTCCTGGGTCAAGGCACATACAAGAACCAACCAGTAAATGCATAAATAAGTGGCAAAACATATCTTTCTCTCTGTCTTTCTCTTCCTCTCTCTCTCCTTTCCCCTCCCCTCCTCTCTCTAAAATCAATTTAAAAATCGATTTCACGCAAGCCCACTTTGTCCCCTGCTTATAAAAGCATCCGAGTAGAGCCAGCCTCCAAGCCAGCTCAGAAGACCTTTTTTTCCTCTGTGCTGCCTCACTTGTGTTTGAGCATAACCCTTATAAAATCTGTCTGGAAATTTCTCTTGGGTTTCCTCTGGATTTCTGTCTTGGGGAATCCAAGAATCCCAATGCTGATAACATTCAAGGAAGAAGTGTCCCTTCCTGTGAATTGTTTGTGGGCAACAAATTAGAAAATAGGAAGTGAAAATAAGAAGTGAAAGCTGCTAGGGTTCAATGGCTCCTGGTTATTTTCTCTTTAAATAATCTTCATCTGGAAGAAATAGCAACCTGGAAGTTAATCCAAAATGCCATAGGACATACAGGGATGTGAGCAGTCTCATCAGCTGGCCCTGTACTTGTTAACTCATTAACCCTTTCTTGTCTTTTCCTTCCACCGTCTGGCCTGCTTCTATTTAATTAAGGAAATCTTAGAACTTTCTCCATGATAATTTCATATTTGAAAGGAACCAAAGTTGATTTTAAGCTATTTATTAAGAAACAAGAGACTCAGAAAGAATCTTTGACTCTCCCCCTTGCTGCCTAAGAGATTCAGATGGAAAAGCTTACTCCAGGAAGGGAATCTTAAGATATTTGCTTTAGCCTAATTTGAATTAAAAATGATAAATAGCAGAACTTCAGGGAAGTTCTGTTAGCTAGATTGACCTCTCCCCTTGCTTCTGAGTTCCCTGGCAAAAATTTGCCTGCCATTTATGCTGTTGTTTTTCAACTACCTCTACATTTCCCATTCTCACTTCTGAAATCTAATACACTTTCCACGATTTTCTCCTTTGTCCAAAATGTCATATATACCCAATGTTGCCCAGAGTCTTTGGAATTTTCATGCTTATGTGAATTCCCCATGCTCATGTATTAAAAACTTGATTTTTTTTCTGTTAGTCTGTCTCCATTAATTTGATTATTAGCCCAGCTAGAAGAACTTAGAAGGTAGGAGGAAAAATATTAACTTTTTAAGTCCCCATGTATTCTACTGATGGTTTTTTAATGTTACATCTTGATTTATCCAAAATTGTATTTAAATTTCTGATATTTGAAAATTTCTTTCTCTTGCTCTCTCTTTTTTTAAGAAACAACAGGCCTAGAACAGAGTCTCTTGGGATAGGTCCCAGCAAACCAACCTAATTGCAGTTTTAGCCTCTCCAGATCTAAAATTTTCTGGTGAGGTATTCCACCTGATAGACCTTTTCCACCACCCAAAGAATAATAAGGCAATCTGCTCTTTCTTTGTATCTGTGCCCCTCTGCCCATAAGAGCCTTCCATTTTGTACAGCTCCTTGGAGCTCCTCTCTATTCGCTAGACAGATTGTTTCCCAATTCAGGAGTCATTCAATACAGCCCATTTGATCTTTAAGTTGTTGAATTTTGTTTGTTTCTAACAGATTCAAGGATGACAAAAACATGCATATGATAAATACCAGATACAAGACATTTTGACATTTGGCATACTTAAAAGTAACACCAACTTACACCTCTTGTGACAAGTGAAACATCCAACTCTTCCTTGATTTCAACATTCTTCACTGGCTCTCCCACCTCCCACCTCACTTCTCTTCTGACTCTTGTACCTCACTCTTGGATTTAGCCTTAAACACACTTTTCCTTAATCCTTTTGTCCTCTTATTGATTTACTTGAATGGAAAATAAGCCATGTAAGAGTCAAGAGAAAAAAAAAAGGTTCTTGGATCAACAATTGAGACAAACAGCAGGAGCAGAGGTACCTAAATAGAGAAGACAAAGGAACGAACATGTTTTGAGACCTCTACTATGGCAAAGTCAGTACTGTTGCGGTATTTTACATGTATCAGAGTAAGAAATTTTTTGATATTATTTGTAAGAAACTTAATTCTTTCTTGAAGAGTCTAGAGTGGCCCTATTCTTTACACAAATGTTATACAGACAGAGGTCTCTAATGTAGGTGTAATGTTCTGTAGTTAGAATGTCACAAACATCTTTCATCAATCATTCCATCCAGTCTGTTACTCACTGTAATTTCCTAGAATATAAAGCTGGTCACTAGGGAAGAGGTAGATCGATTTGCATAAGGAGCCCAGGGCCTTGTGGGAGAGAATATACCCTAAATATCCTCTCTGGAGATAACCTCTTACTGCTCCCAAAGCCAAGGAGCCTTGTGACTTTGATTACATTTAGTTTTAAATCCTAGAAAGCATATTTCTTTCTCTATATCAACCCGTCAGAGACCCAGGATAATCAGCAACCCCCAAGGCCTTTTCCCAGGATAATCAGCAACCCCGAAGGCAGCAGAAGACAATAGCCCAGACCTGACTCATGGCCACAAGGTCTGGACTGTACAGAGGCTACAGATAACCTCTGGCACTAAGTTATGTTTCAGCTACTGAGCCTTAAGGTAGAACAAACACTGTGGTTACTTGTACATGAGCCCAGACAGAGATACAAAAGAAAAGACCTCAGAACTGTCCTCCAGACAGGTAGACACGATTTATTACCCTTACCTTACCTCCAACCGATCAGCTCCCAGCAACAAGAGAAACCCCTTCTAAACTCATGATGTCTTGTGATTTTGCCCTAAGGAATCTGGAAACTGTATGCCATCAGGGAGTCAGGTTTTTTTAGAGCATAAGCTCCCTACCTCCACATTGGCCGATTCAATACTGAACTATTTTTTTTTAATATACTGCAAACTCCTGCCTGTGCATATCTTTGGGTCAGTGTGCACAGGCAGGTAATGCAAAGAAAAATACTGGGATTCTAGTAACACTCTCTGAGATATGAAATTAGAAAATGCTGTTGGGATGAAGAAGGCAGGCTTCCTTCACCCAAGGGCCAGTGTGAAACAGGCAGCAAGTCTCCTAAAATAACATTAATGTAGAGAAAGATGTTATCTTGCTTGGTAGTTCTATCTCAGGATGAACAAATAATGTAGAAGTGGAGTAATAAATAAATTTATACCTTTCAACAAAGTATTAACTAGTACTTATATCCTTCCCCTGAACAGGCAAAACTTTTACTTCATGTTGTACCTTTCTCTCTACCTTCCACTGCATAGAAATTATCTGGAAATAAGCTCAACATTAATTTTTTACACCATACCTCTATTTTCTTAGGAAAATTGCCCACGTATAAAATACTGTTGCTTGTATTTTAAAATTAAAGGAGAATAATTTAGGGGCAGTTATAGTGGACAAACTAACAGGTGTTCCAATTCATCTTACCAGCTCCATGGCTATAGACCTCCTCATCCTAAGCCTTAGTCCCCACCTTGCTTCTTTACCTGAATAGTTCTCACCTTTCATTTTCCCCCTCAGGCCCCATTTTTGCCTTGAATTCTTACCAAGCATTTTACTTCCCAGACATGTCTTTCTGCTTCTGAATTTTTATCATATTTACCATTCCTTTTCATAGTCTCTTGTTACATTTTAAGTATATGAACTAAAATGGAACTTGAGAGCTACAACTGCTTTCTAGCTCTCTCTGGGCTCTTCAGAGGCTTAATGGGGCTTTTTCTATGTCAGTGAACAATAGACTAAAACTCTCATTTGATCAGAACACCCTCAGTTCTTCCCAATGCTCTTTGGTTCCTCTTAGCTTAGTAACCCTCAGGGACAACTGAATGTGAACCTTAGGGCTGTTACCGGTTTGCCTAGCAACCAGGAAGGTTCCCAAGGACATACACCCTGAAGACAAATCCTTTTGGTATGGTAATGAATGAAACTAAGGAGGTAGTCTTAAAACAGTGCATTTCCATATAAACTAAAATCATGTCAGTATTAGAACTACTATATAACTAACTGTGGCTTTATGTCTTAGGAGGAGCTAAGACAGAGAGAGTTTGATTAGAGAGTGCATCATTAGATTACACCCTCCCTAATCAAACATTTTATTTTAGTCACATCGAGCAAATAGCCCTAACTTTTAAAAAATGAAATAATGAGGACATATAGAGGTACACTATTACAACCAAGCATGCACATATAAGGCTGACTTAACAAATGTTAACATTCAGCCATTTTCCCTAAGAAATAAAACATTGCAGAGGTGGAAGCTAAGAGAACAGAAATAAAAGAATATTTAAATGCTATTCTCTGGAAGTTATTAACAGAGGATAATAAATAATTGGATTCAGTTTAAAAGAGAGGGATAAATACAAGATTTTCTGTACACAGGCCTAGGCGACTTCTTAAATAGTACAATCAACAAAATTAAGTAAGTTGTGGCTCAAAGAAATATTCAAAGTAGGTATCTTTTTATACTTTTTAGAAATTGACAGGACAAAGGAAGTTAGTGCTCAGACAGGGGCACTAACTATCCTATCAGACAGGAATCTAAGCAGGTTTCAATATTCATTAGTAAGGAACCCAAACAAAGTTTAGGCTTGGGCAGTAAATTAGTAAAGGTGATAAAAGCTTTATTTACACACACTTTTTGACTCTGGATTTTGTAACTCTGGTGATAAGGTTGTCAGACCTTCAGGAGGGGAGAGGGAACCTAGCACGGAGATTTACTTCCTGCCTCTCTGGGTTCGGAGAAGAGTGAGAGCTGCTCTTCCTGCTCTTCCAGCTTAGCAGGTGGTTTTAGTTCAAAATAATCGGTATACCTGATGGCATACCGATTATTATCCAACAAGATAATAAAACAAACCAAGATCACAGAACTATATTATTCTTATGAAGGCTGGGGAATGAGCTGCTTATGTCTGTTATATTTCAATGTTTTCTTTTTCAGTGCTTTAATGAGTTTGGCATATTTAATATTTTACAGATTATCCTTATGATTACAATATAAAAAGTTTTACTGATTTAGGTTTGCAATTTTAAAGCATAAGACATTTAAAAGCATATGATGGTGTTTTTAGGTTTATAAATAGCATTATAACTTTTTAAATAACTTGAGATTCAATGTAAATATATATACATCTTTAACTTTTTTAGATTTCTGAGTTATTTAAATAGTTAGGAAATCTTATCAAGCAGACAATTAAAATACTGAACTAAAAGTATAAGTGACACTGAATATTAATCCAAGGCCTCTTAGAAATACTTTTTTTTTAATTTTCAAAAATATTTACAAATTAATAGTTTGATTTATATGTGAATCAAAAAGCTTAAAAAGAAATATTTTTTAAATTTCTAACTTTTAATAAGTCTATCATTAATTTTGATAACCTCAACTAATCTCCTCTTGAGTCACTGGCAAGGACACCAAAATATCCTCATTGACATAATATGGATCAAGAGTTCATCAATGTCAAGTATAACTTTTGCTGAAAAAGAAGAAAATGCTACTCTGTATGTGTGTATGTTCTTTTGCTTTGTTTTTCTATTAGTTTAATTTAATGGCTAAATTTTACCTTTATAAAACTTGAATGTTTAAATATTTTTTTAAAATTTTAATTTTTCTTTTATTTTTTAAGATTTTATTTACTCCTTTTTAGAGACAAAAAGGGAGGGAGAAAAAAGGGAGAGAAACATTGATGTGCGGGAAATACATCCATCAGTTGCCTTTCGCAGGCCCCCAACTGCAGACCTGGCCCACGATGCAGGCATGTGCCCTAACTGGAAATTGAACTGGCAACCTTTCAGTTTGCGGGCTGGCACTCAATCCACTGAGCCACAACAGCCAGGGCTGAATGTTTAAATATTCTAATAAACTACTAAAAGAGATTTTCTTTTCCTTGTGCAGGCACCATGCATGCTAACCTCTGTATCATTCCAATTATAGTGTATGTGTTGCTGAAGCAAGCACTCTTTTTTTCTTTTTTCGAGTACTCTTCTGTAAGGAGCAGAATTGTCCAAAAGTGGCCCAGAGAACTCAGTGTAGGTTTCCCAGACAATAGGCAGCTCCATCTCCTAGTGAATAGGACTACAGTTGAACTCAGCTACCCGTTAGCTGGTGTTCTACCAGCTGCTGTTCTACTTAGCTAGAAGGTTAAAATTTCTCATGGGACCCAAGATCTCTAGAAAGAAATGGATCTAGTTTTTGTGGGTCTAAAGTTTATCCATCTCCTTTTGCTGACCCTTCACATTTATTTCCCAAATAAATCTTATTCCTTAACCATATCATACAATACTGTGGAACTCACTTTTTCTCCTCATCATTTTAAATTCTATTTATGTGCTGGTTCAGTGCTACTACTTGTTGTAGTCATGGAGGAAATTAATTTGAAATTTTATCCTGGTCAAATACAATGGAAGTGTAAGATATAGCCTTGCAGTCATGATTATGTGTAAATGGAATTTAAGAAGCTTAGAAAGGTAAGTGAAATAATTAAATTAGAAACTGTCATTCCTATCAGCAAATTATGATAGATCTGAAAAAATGTTAAGAAAAAAGTGGGCCTCTAATACAATAGAGATGGTGTCCTTATAAAAAGGGTAATTAAATGTGTAAATTTGGGTACAGGTATGCACACTGGGAAAACACCATGTGAAGGTGATCCTTCTACAAGCCATGGAATGCCAACAATTGCCAGGAAACCGCCAGGTATAGGCAAAAGGCATGGAGAGTTCGAGTCTACCAGATGATATAAGAAGAAATCAGGGAAATTTAGGATATTGGTGCAAACATGGCTGAAGTAATGCACTACGGCAGTGTAACCTGGACAGGAATAGAAATGAAAGGTGGAAAGGGGCTAACAGACACCCAGCCCAGGAAGTCAGGGGTCATGGAGTCTTGATGAGCTCAAGGAACTGATAATAAGAGTGACAGGGAAGAAGAGTTGGAAGGAAGGTTAAAGTCCTATAGTGGTATGCTTGCATTTAGGATTAGAGGAGAAGAGTTCCAGATCATACCAAGAAGTACGTGACATCCAGGGGTTAAAGTCTTTGATAAGAAAGAGGAAATGACCAAGTTGTCAATAAGGGACAGCACCAGCAAAGGTTAGAGACTGATATGGCTGGTAACATGAACCAGAAAGGGACAGTGAAAGAAGATGGAATAATCTGAGAAAGGTCCAGGACAAAGGGAAGATCCATCAGTCACTCTGATACATGCCTTATTCTCCCTTGTCATCTGTCTTGCAAAAATGAACTCCCACCTTTTTACTCCTATATCCCAATAAGTTAGGTCCTCCAAGATCCTCTTGTTACCTCCTACAGACTGGTCTCACAGGAAAACAACAGTGAAAAAACTTAGAGGCTAACAGGTGAAAGAGCAGAAACACTGGGGTGACAATTTTTGCTTCATTATATTCATGTATTTCAATGGCCTACTAGAATCTCCGGCTGCATATTGGAGAAGTCTCCAGTACCAGAGACTTCTTAATTGCAATATGTCCAAACAGAACTTAATTTCCTCATTATGCATCCTACCTACCATCTCTCTAAATGTTTGCCTCCCCTTGAATATACCTCTCAGACAAAGATATTACCAACCCTTCCACACAACTCTATTCAGTTTTTTTTAATCCATCCAACTGTCTTTGTATCTAGTGCTACTCCTCTGCCTCGGGCTCTCATCATCTCTCACCTAGATTATTATAACACCTTTTCAAGGACCTCCCTAATAACCCTGACTTCATTTAAAATTTTCATATACTATTCATCATGAATTTTTTGCATTAATTTTGATTTTTTTAAATATTGCATTAAAATTCATTTATCTTATTTACTGAGTCTTTTGGTGTCTCCCTCAATTGTGAACCAAGTGCTTTACTCACTGTACCCTGGTCCCAGCCCTACTTACTACCTCTAGTCTCATCTCCCACAATTTGGTTTCAATCAGCAAGGACAGTCAACCAAAATAGATACGTAATCATGCCACATTTCTGCTTAATTCTTCCATGGGTTCCTCTGCTCAGGTTATTCAACAAGAACTCAGTAAGATTAGTCTTTTCTGCTTCTTGTTTACTATTTTAGCCTCTCTTTTGAATTTCTTCCTCCTTTACTTATCATCACCATGGATAACATTATGTATAAGCACAGAGGTGGAGCATACACTATTATGTATTTATATGTTATTTTACAGCCATGACACTGAGCTATGAGGCTCCACAACTCCCCTCCTCTAGTCTCTGTCGGGCTTTTCCACATGTTTGCACTGCCTGGCAGTCTGCCATCTCCTCCTGGGGTTCCTTCCTATGGGCTGAATAAGGGCCTCCCAAAGACATCCACGTTATAATCCATGGAATATGTACAAGGTAAATAACATTTTGCACATGTGATTAGGTTTAGAATTTTTAGATGCATTACCCTGGATGAATCTGTCCTGGATGAATGAAATGGATGGATTTACCCTGGATTATCTGGGTGGGTCCAAAGTAATCACAAGGGGGAGGCAGGACCATCAGGGTGAGAGAGAAGGTGTGACAAGGAAGTAGATGTCAAATTGATGCCACTGCTGGAAAGGGACCGTGAGCCATGAGTGTAGATGGCCTACAGAAGCAGAAAAGGGCGTGGAACAGATTCTCCCCTAGAGCGGGGGGTGTCAGACTCATTTTCACCGGGGGCCACATCAGCCTCTCGGCTGCACTCACAGGGCCAAATGTAATTTCAACTCCTTTACAGTTAGGGAGTAGTTACATGTATACAGTCCTAAAATTATTTATGCCCTTTGAAGAGAAATAAATGAAGCAACAAAGCAAGAGAGTGGAACATTAAGAAAATTTGACATTTAACAGGGGCTTCCAACTTTTTTACATATAAAATGCATGCTTAGACATGATATATGTGCCAGCCACCAGAATTTCTTATTCATGATCATGGTGAACTGAATGTGGCTGTGCTGGCCTTGCTACTATTAAATATGACTCTATGGTGAGTCAGGGCAACATGATACTTTATTTATTCCCATTTTCCTTTGTTGGAAATCTTTGTTACTCTAGTTTCGTTACGTAATTTTAGTAGGTGAATTCTCAAAGGAAGTAGTCATTGCAGAATTGTGAGGGGTCATACAGAGTCGCCAGAGTTTCCCACCCTCCACCTCACTAATTGTTCAGAAGTTGGCAAGGTGTAGCTGGGCTCTCTGCTAACCTCTCATAATTGGGAAAGGGAGTGCATTTTGAAAACAACACAAAAATGATGTTAAGTTTATTTTTTTAATGCTTTTCCCCACATTCTCATAGAGAACTACTCCTTTAATGAAATTAAACTTATTAATTACTTTCATTCAGTGTGATTAATATGACTGATCCTATGTTTCCAGTATTAATTGATTTTTAAAAAGATTTTTATGTACTTATGTTTAGAGCGAGGGGAAGGGAGGGAGAAGGAGAGGGAAAGATCAATGCGTGGTTGCCTCTCACGTGGCCCCCACTGGGGACCTGGCCCACATGTGCCCTGACCGGGAATCCAACCGGCAACCCTTTGGTTCAAAGCCCCTACTCAATCCACCGAGCTACACCAGCCAGGGCTAGTAGGAATTGATTGACTGATTGACTGGTTGATTGATTGATTGATTTTTAGAGAGAGGGGAAGGGAGGGAAAAAGAGAAGGAGAGAAATATTGATTCACTGCCTCTTACACATACCCCAACTAGGGACTGTACCTGCAACCTAGGCATGTGCCCTGACCGAGAATTGAACCAGCAACATTTTGATTTGCAGGACGATGCCCAAGCAACTGAGTCACACCGGGCAGGGCTCCAGCATGACTCTTCACTTCTACTGATGATACAATTAGCCTGTGCAGGCTATCCCTGCTAGCTGATAAATTTAAATGACTTAGTTAACTCATAAACAACAACAAAGTATTTTTCTGGCAAGCTAGCAATAAATATCAGGTGGTAGTTGTGTTATTATATCAGAGTTTTGCAATATGGTAGCACTGAAGGAAACTGAGTAAAGGGTTTATGGGATTTCTCTATATATTACTTTTTACAACTGCATGTGAATCTATAAATATCATGTCAAAATAAAATGTTTAATTTTTAAAAATATCTTTTTTTGCAGCATGTTAGATCCCAGTGCCACGTGTCATATATCTTGAACATAGGTACTGGTTTTGCCCTTTCCAGGAAAAATGAAGAATGGATGATGGTAAGATAGAATTGGATGCTTGAGAAGTGGAAAGAGGGTTTGGAATACTCTAAGTGAGGAATCTGATGAGCGCTCAGTGACAGAGGCTCTTTCTTCTCAAGGAGGCTGCAGAGTGTGTTGGTTGCGGGGCCCATGTGTCCTCCCCAGCAGACACAGAGACACAGATCTTCATGAAGACTCTGACTGGCAAGGCCAGCACTTCTGAGGTTGAGCCCAGTGACACCACTGAGAATGTCAAAGCTAAAATCCAAGACAAGGAGGGCATCCCGCCTGACCAGCAGTGTCTGACTTTTCCAGGCCAACAGCTAGAGGATGGTAGCACTCTCTCAAACTACAGCAGTGAGAAAGAGTCCACCTGGCACCCGGTGCTCTTCGTCTGCATGGAGGCATCATCCAGCTCTCCTTCGCCAACTCACCCAGAAGTACAACTGTGACGAGATGATCTGCCACAAGTGTTACACCCACCTGCATCCCCACTCTGTCAACCGCTGCAAAACATGCAGCCACACCAACAATCTCTGCCCCAAGAAGAAGGTTAAATAAGGCCCCTCTATTACCTACTCTGGCCTATAGGGTGGTCTCCTGCCTAATCCCCGTGACTCTGGGGTCTCAATAAATTTTCCCTTTCATTGACTAGAGAAAAAGAAGGAAGGAATGAAGAGAGTGAGGGAGGGAGGAAAGGAGGGAGAGAGGAAGGAAAGAGAGAGGAAGAGATAAAAAGAGAGGAAAAAGAGAGAAAGAGGGAGAGGGGAGAGGGAGGGAGAGAGGGAAAGAGAGAAGAAGAAAGGGAGGGAGGGGGGAGGAAGGGAGGGAGGAAGGAAGGAAGGAAGGAAGGAAGAGAGAAAGAAAGAAAGAAAGAAAGAAAGAAAGAAAGAAAGAAAGAAAGAAAGAAAGAAAGAAAGAAAGAAAGAAAGAAAGAAAGAAAGAAAGAAAGAAAGAAAGAAAGAAAGAAAGAAAGAAAGAAAGAAGAGGAGAGAAGAAAAGAAAAAGCTCTAGGCAGGCTCTTTCTCAGCTTGGCAGTTTCTAGATTTTATGGAGTGGGTAAATTGGTTATTGTGTTTTGGAATTTGTGCATTGTTTTAAAGTTTAGAAATACAAAGCTTTTTCTAAGTTTCCATTATATTATTCAGAGAACCAGATATTTTAAGCAAAAACATTGTGACCTTTATAACCACTTAATAGGGAATGTTTAAAAAATCATTTAAAGCCCCCAAGAAGTAAGGTACCTATATTCTGCTGGATACCATCTCTGTAATTCCAGTCATCATCACCATGTGACAAGGAAGGCCATCAATGTGTTCCTCCTTGTGGATACATTAGACCCTGTCAAGGTAAGAAGAGAGCTGAAATGAGCCTTTGATTCACTCAATTATGATTTCTACTACAAAAAGTATTTAAAAATAAGTACTAAATATTACCTTGTCACACAATAAAACATCTAAGTAAAAGTACTATATTCTACAAATGACTTCAATCTCTAATTTATTTATTCCATTTGACCCCAAACAAAATTTTCCAAGAAAGTTTCAGATGTCACCAGTTAGCTCTTTTTAACTTGCATCTTACTTATTAAATCTTCATATGTTGTTATTCTAAGCCTGTAATAATTGAGAGGTCACTGACTAAGGTGTACTTACTCTGCTAATCCCTGCTTATTTTTCACAAATAACTAATCTTTGGGGAATATCTCAAATCATCATTTCTATTTCTGAGTCAGAAAATCAAAGAGTGGAGAAAACTGTAGATGGCATGAGCTATGAGGAATATTAGGTTTCAACATGGGCAACGTAACAATCTCTTTTATCTGGAAAGAGACAGATTTGACACACTATCATTAGAAGTTCAAGGTGCCCCCAAATTTGAATTATTTGATTCTCAATACATAAAAAGTAGGAAGGATATCTTTTGTTTGTTTGTATGTCAGGAGAACCTTAATATACACATAAAACTTTAATTAAAGGAAGCCTACCTTTCAAAAACCTAGATATTAAATAAGTGAATGAATAAATAAAATTTAAATTTGATGTCATTTTAGGCATCAAGGTCATTTTGCAGGGAAATAAGTGATTGGGTCAAAACAATGGGTCCCGATCATAGACGTACTCATTAAACTTTGAGAACAATTAAGGCAAGACAGTTCGCCAGCAGCCAGCTTTTGCCCTATTGGAATGCTGCCTGAGACTACCACATTAGAGCCAGTCACCATACCACAGGGTGGCAGGCCACGCAGAGGACCTCTCTGAGTCCCCTAGTTGACAGCCAGCATTCCAAGCTAGCCGGCTGCATATACAACGAAATGACAGGGCCCGCAAAGCTGGCAGAAGAGCCATCCCACCAACCCACAGCACTGGGAGGATAATAAATTCTTGTTAGGTCACCATGTTTTGAGGTGGTAAAACAGACTGGAATAATTGAGAAAGGGACTTCACGGTACTCAACATGTATGAAACCCAACTCATTTTTTTTGACTTTCACTTCACCTTTTGCTGTACTGGTACCTCCATTTCTCTTTCACTGTTTTGAAACAGAAGTTTGTGTTTTTTTCATTTTCTTTATTTCCCTCTACCTGATAGGCAGTGTATCTGAATCCTCATGTAACTGGCATTGTCGCAAAGCATGACTCTGATTATACTCTTTTCTACCAAAAAAAAAATCCTTAAATGGCATCCTTTGCCTACATAATAATGTTCTTGTTCCTTAGACTTATTTAATGAATCACCTTCTTTCCAATTCTGGTTGCAATGTGTATTTCCAGGCATAACCTATCTTTTTTTCAAGTTATCACTTTTCTCCCAAAACCCCAACTTCTGCCAAATTAGCCTAGTCATTGTTTCTAGATTATGCCATAAGTATGCCTTCTTTAATACTTTTACTTTTCATTTTTTGAAATATTGGTCTCAAATGAATCCCCACTATCTAGATCTTTCTCATTCAAAAATATCCAATACAAATTGTACCTTCTATATGAGGCTTCTTCCATAATTGTTCCTAGATTTTTTGAACTCTTTTATTATTTTATTGCCCAAATCATTCAGTTACCAACCGCTATTTAGCCATTTATTATAGTTGTTTTTCATGTATACATGTTTTATCCACACACCTAAATTGCAACATACTAGGTCCATACCCGTGTAGAGCAAGAGCAGAGCAGAGCAGACTTTTTCAACACCTTTGACAATCCAATATGGAGTCACTGTGAGCCATGACAGCTATGTCAAGCGCTACATTAAGACCGATATATTGGGATGTAACAGGAATACCCTTAGGAGGGGCCCAGAACGCTGCAAACCACAAACCACTTGGATCAGGACTCCATCAGGACACCGACATGAGTGGGACCTTCACCCCTGGTGGGCTCTAAGAACGCAGAGCTCTGACCACCCAATGCTCAGTGGAGCATTGGGTGTACCATGGATCATGCTCAGAGCCCTGGCGGACTTCTACTCCACTGGACATGCGCCCCCACTTCAGAGGCCTGGCTTGACACTGATGCCTTCTTCTTCACCTGCAGACACTGGCAGTGAGTGGGACTTCACATCCAATGCTCTCTTTACTGGCTTTGGTTGTGTAAGCTCCCCTCTCTGTGTATAATCTGCATGTGATCTATTGGTTTATTAAGGAAATCTCCCCTAATAAACCTGGGATTGTAGGAAAACACCTACTTGTTCACCGATAATATATTATGCCTTGTGTAAACATAAACTGTTACCAGTAAACATTACTTGATGTTGAAGGAAGCAGCAAGATTTGGGTAGGTGGAGAGAGAAGAGGCATTCCAGAGGAACAAGAGCAGCAACTGAGAAAATATATGGTTTGTTCCAGAGATGGGAAAGATAATAGCGAATAAAAAGTTGAATTATCATGTAACAACAACAATAGCAAAACAGCACTCAGCTATCATTCTTTTTCTTGCTTAATTTTCTCCAAGGCACAATGGTACTTGTTTTTGCCTGAATACTTTTACATTTGTGGGAAATATGATCATTGAAGTAGATTTTTAGTATTATTTTATTGTTTGTAAGAACTGAGTTTAAGGGAGGAAAGAGGCTGAGTGTTTGCTAACCATAAGAAACTACCACCATACCCCAGTCCCTTAACATGTAAAATGATAAGATCTATTTTATAACTGAGTTCCACCCCTCTTCCAAGTGGCCTTGTGGTTAGCAAGGAAGGAAATACATGGTAACACTGAGCAGGGTTGAGCAGGGTGGGGGAAGAGAGCCTTGTAACCAAAAGTTTCTAAGAGCTCTTTGAAAGGGGGACTGTTTACATACATTTGAAAAGCTCAGAGTTGGTCAACTGAAACACTGAAGAACTACTATTTATGGGAGATCTTACCTTTCCCCAACAACTGGCATACCGCTGTCTTCATTCAACAAATTCATTTATTCAGCAAATATTCTGAGTGCCCACTCTGAGATGGGCATTTTTCTAGGGGAAATATGCCTTACAATAAATAAACAGAAATTATATACACAAAGGTTGAAAAAAGTAGGAAAAATATATACCAAGAGAATACTGACCAAAAGAAAGCTGGTCTAGATATATTAATATAAATGAAATATACTTAAATCAAAAATATTACTAGAAGTTCACTTCATAATGTTGAGATACTCAATTCACCAGGAAGATGTCATAATTTTATTCCTGTATGCTCTGAATAAGACTCAAAATATACATGAAGCAAAAAAAAAAAAAAAGACAGAACTATGATGAAAAATAAATCTACAATAATAGTAGAATATTATAGAATATTTCTATAATATAGAGTATTATAGAAAATATTAATTTTTTACCACCCCTTTTCTCCCTACATCTTTGCATTGCGCATTTCCTTCCTTCGGGAGTTTTTTTAAAGTTTCCTTTTTTAAATTGAGTTTAAAGAGAGAGGTAAGGGTGGGGGGGGGACAGAGAGAGACAGAGAGAGACAGAAACATCACTTTGTTGTTCAGTTGATTATGAACTCACCGTTTTTTTTCCTTGTATGTGCCCTTCCCAGAGGTTGAACCTGCAACCTTGCTGTATTAGGACAATGCTCCACCCAACTGAACTAACTGGCCAGGGCTCATTCCCTTCATTTTTTTCAAATATCGCCTCCGAGAATTATTTTCAAGTTATTTCATTTAAAATGAAGTCTTTTGATTCTTTATAGTATGTACATGACTTGCCCAGCATTATACTATTCATTTACTTGTTTATTAATTTCTCCCCTACTAAGAGTATTCCATGAGGATGGGATATCACCTTTCTCATTCACCATGAAATCTCTGGTTCCCTGAACAGTTTCTAAATAAATGAATAGCTAAATAGTACTGAACAATTGCTAGATACTTCTCTGCACAGTAGACCCCCTTATTTGTGGGTGATATGTTTCAAGACCCCCAGTAAATGACTGAAACCATGTATAGTAACAACCCTATATATAGTTTTTTCCCTATACATACCTATGAAAAACTTATGAATTAGACATAATTAGAAATTAACAATAACTAATAAAAACAATTATAATAACAATTATGTGAATGTGGTTTCTTTTTCTCTCCAAATATCTTATTGTACTGTACTCACCCTTCTTGTGATGTGAGATGACATAATGCCTATGTGATAAAATAAAATAAGATGAATGCCATAGGCAATATGACATAGCATTAGGCTGATGTAAGGATTACTTGCATACAAGCACTGCAATACATGACAGTCTATCTGATAAATAATACAGCTATTACATAACTAACAGTCAGATAGAGTATAGAGCATGGATACGCTGCACAAAAGGATGATTCATATCCCTGGCAGAAAGCAGTGGAACAGTGTGAGACTTTACCATGCTTGTAATAAAATTTATCAATAGTTTATTTCTGGAATTTTCCATTTACTATTTCTGGACCATGGTTAACTGCAGGTAATTAAATGCACATAAAGCAAAACTGTAGATAAGAAACTTTAAATGCATTATCTTAATTCTCCCCGCAATCTTTATTTTAGAGGAAGTGGTAAACCATTAACTCAATCGCACACAGTAAAGGACAGTCAAGATTTGAATCCAGGGAGAATGCCTCCTGGGCATTCCACTGGGCTTGGGAGTCCACCATACGCTCTTCTCACACAGGGATATGACATTTTATTTATTCAACAGAAACATACTGAAATGCCTAGTGGGTGTAATGTGTTAGACATGCAAAGGTGAGGCAGAAATGGACAGTGCCTGATTTCATGGGGGGTTATATACCACTAGCACAGAAGACATTAAATAATTCTTGCATAATCAATTATTTAGTTACAATTGTTTTGGAATCAGAAGGGATACATTAAGGTACCT